TCATTTTTATAATATAATAGTACAGGTCATTTTTATAATATAATAGTACAGGTCATTTTTATAATATAATAATACAGCTCATTTTTATAAAATGCAGTGCCTTGCAAAAGTCTTCACCCCCCTGTGCTGATAATAAATTTTAGGTATTTTCTTGTGAAAGACATAACTCAAATGGCCTAAAATATTTATTATATTAATCTCAGACCAGTTTCTAAAGATGACAAAGAACAAAGGGTGTATTGTTACCCAACTTAGCAAATAACACAAAAATATCTTGAAAACACAGTGCGGAATAGTTATATTTTCTTACAAGTCAAGTATTTAGATTTGATTATTACATATAAACTTTCCTTCTTCCTTTCTTATAGTAGATTAAGAAAAATAAGTAACATGTTTTAATAGTAAAAAATAGTTTTCCTTACACCGAATTAGTTGCGTATTAACAAATAAACATTCACATTTGTTCACAATACTGTATTTTTCATGAGAAAATAACATTTCATTATCTTTACTATAAATTTTATCATTTTGAATATTTTAATTCCATGGTTTTAATTATCTATATTGCCCAGATATCATAAAGCTTAGATATTTCTATTTTTGTGTATAACATGTAACGTTTAATTCTGTTGAATAACTTTATTTAAATATGTTTTTTTTTTACCCTGAATTGCATATGTAACTGACAAATCAAATAAGAACCGTTCAGGAGTTATTTTCATAAACATCCGACTGCTAATATTACAAATGTACTTCAGGAATGTGTTGTTTTCGTGTTTTCTCACTATTCATGCAATTACTGTTTGTTATAGTCGAAGAAACTTAATTCAAAGGTATCAAACTGTATGATTTCTTGTATTTAGAATTTAAATTATTATTTCCAAATGTATGTACACTTTTCTCAGTTTAACCTAATTGCTGTTCTACAGGATAGAATACTAACGTATCGAAATGATTTTTCCAGCTAATGACAACTCAACAAGAATGCGACCTTTCAGTGGTACTTTACTTGGAATTGTGACAGTATTTATCTTGATGGCTTTCTCCATTGTTTTCTTCTTTAAAAGAAGAAGAAGTGGGAAACAAAACGTTACAGGTAAAACGTAATAATATTTCCTTACGTCAAACTGGTGAACGTTGTACAGCATATTAAAACCTATGGACATCAACAGAAAATTTAAAAAAATTACACCAACCCTAAGTCAATCACCCTGTTTGAAAAGTTAAACTGTCCTAACTGGAACCTAGCCTGTCTTTTACAAATCTTGTTTGCTCTTATCTTCAGAATGTAGCACAATCAAATCAGAATATTTTATCCTTTGGATAATCTTGTAGGTTTCAATAGGACCACCTCCTAACTTTATTCTTTCCCCATAAGATAACTCTGGAATCATCCTAGAAACCCTCCTCTGAACATTTTCCAATAAGGTAATAGCTAAACTCTCAATACAGGCTAGGTCAATTTGACCGACCATTTGACCTCTTTGTGGTCGTTGAAAGACTATAGATTTGATACTACTAACTTTCAATATAGTGTGTATATCGTCATGAAATTTGTCAGTCCTTCAGTAAACAACATTAAGTCTTTCAAGTACAAAAAAATCATATTTTTAGTGAAGCATTTTTAATAAACTAAAATAAGATTTGTCCATGAATATATCGAGTATTTGTTTTGAATAGTCCGTGTCCAAAATGATTTTTATGTTAAGATTAAAAATACCTTTTTTCATCTCAAAAATATCAAATTTCACTTGTGTAACCTATAAAACTTCCTAAATGCATATCAAGTGTTTGTTTTCAGTAAAACTTTGTACTTTATCAGCTATTTTCTCTACCCCAATTCTATATAAGGTTGGTCAGTTTGACTGACCTCGTAACCACAAAAAAAAAAAAAAAAAAATCGAAATAAATGTAAATTACTATTTTTAAAATATTTGTCCAAGTTACCAATTGACTCAAGTCATTCTTAAATACCTAAATATCTGAGAAATTAACAATAAGAGAAAAGTAAAGTTGAAGCATCGGTAGCAAATTCTAGAACGCTAAACATGTATCAAAATGCACGTATCTTTTATGTTTAGTGTTCTTATTGAAACAACACTAGTTTAGCAACTTCAAGAAACTATAAAAAATGGATAGGCTATGAAATGTAAAATTGGTTGTTCTTTTTTGTAGCCGTTGTTCTATCGGAAGAAAAGCCTGAATAACGCACATGAAACTAAGAAGTTATAAAAAGCATTTGTAATCTCTAGACAAATACTACAATCGATTAACAACTAACTAAAAAGAAATATCGTTACATGAACTAATAATCTAAAACAAAATATCAACTTATTGATAAATATATGTAGTTATTGGATTGGTATCTTATAGAATGTGACTTCTATTAACATATTACATTACCGGATTATTTTACTTGTAGAACGTGACTTTCTATTACATTACATTACTGGATTATTTTACTTGAAGAACGTCACTTTCTATTAACATATTACATTACTGGATTATTTTA